CTTTTCCCTCAGTATGGTATTTCTTCGAACTCTATTTTAACAGGGAGACTTTTAAGAGCAACTTTGACCTCTATTTGAACTTTGATTTTAAAAAGAGCAGAACCCACCATCATTCTTGACAGGCAATTTGCTAGTCTTTCTGATGTTAATATTCTTCAGTAATACCAGGCTTTTTCTTTTGCTCCTTGTGTGACAACACACTCAAGGACAGTTCTGTAAGAGCTTGTGTGTTAGGCTGTTTTGTGTATGCAGCTATGTTTTTATTTTCATGTAATCTCTGAAGGTTATGCGTAGCTTGCATTATTTTACTTTTGCTCACTAAAATCCAACTTTTGGGGGGAAATTTCTTCAAAAGTATATAACTTGTCTCCTGTTAAACCTGGTTTGAATTTCTAGTTTAGTTCTTTTGAAATGTAAGTCTTGGACTTTTTTTTTTTAAGGTTGACAGTGCTCTGGTAACAAGCATGCTCTGTAGTTTTTTAAATGAACAAACCTTTAATGCTATACAACTTTGCATTGTGGCATACCAGATTCCATGTTCTCGGTCTGTTAAACAGTGCAAGAAACTGCATTCCTTGCTCTACTTGTAGTATTTGTTGTGCTATCATTAATCATCACAGTAAAGTATGGGTGCTACTAATCAAATAAATAAAACTTTGGGGTGGAAGGGAGTTGAGAGAAGGTTTTGAAACACAAGACTCTGGTGGTATTTTTATTTTTAACTACTAGTAGTATTATATTTCTCTCTCTTAGGTGATTGCAAAGGGGAAAAATGCATCTGAATTGTTTCCTGCTGTTGTGAAGAATGTGGCCAGTAAAAACATTGAGGTACCAAAGCAAATAACTCATAAAAACATACTGTTACTTTTATAAACAAAGATCTGTATCATCCAGTTTACAGTATAAAAAACATAAACTACCTTTCAGTTCTATTTTACAATTATTTTAGAATTCACTGAGGCTTAATTTTAGTGGGACCCTTATGGAAATAGTATACCTTTGTAGTAAGATAAAGGGAATATATACCATTAAACCTTTCTTCCAGTAGCTTGTTGGGGAAGTGAATTTATATAGATTGGAAAATAGCTCGTAAGAGTAGTTCAAGAAGTTCTAGATGTGTGTGTTGTGTTATTTCCAAGACTACCATCTTGTAAACTGCATGACATAACATGTGTTAACAATCCCTATCAAGAAACTAAAAACTTGAGTATGGACTGATCTTACTTTCTTACTTGCACTTTCAAAGTAGTTGCTACAGGTCAGGGTTTAGATGCATGTTAGAGGGATGCTTGTTCTTTTTCAGTGGTATAGTTTATCTATCCTAGAAAAAGCCTTAGTTTCAAAATGGTATCACTTAATTTTTACTTTTGTTACCCAGATCACAGGTAACCTTGCAGGATGACTACTGATACGATTCAGAAACAGGTGTACAGTCCAACCTTTTATTTGTTGTAGGGCTGTCAATTAATCAACGTTAACATGCATGATTTAATGCAAGAACCAATTGTGTTAATTTTTTTAATGTGTTAATCTGACACATGGTTTTGGAGTCTGCACCCAGGCTGCACTTTGACTCCTCTCTGCCATCATCACCACCACCTCCTGGCCAACCAGTAGGGCAGTGGTGGCAGTGCAGAGGAGCTGCAGGGCAGCCCAAGTGCGGGCTCCAGGTGGCTGTAGCAGGAAGGGAGGAGGCAGGGCACACCCACCCACACACCCACAAACCCCACAACACCCCCATCCAGGGCCCCAGTCAGCTGAGTTGGCAGTGCTGGGGGTTCAGGAAAAGCATTGCTGGGCCATGGTGAGGCTGCCTGGCATCCTTGGGCCCCATGGCTTGGGCTCGAGGTGGTTTGGTACTGCCTGGGAGCTCTTGCATAAGCTGCCTCTGGGCCCAGGGGTCCCCGTGCATCCTCAGGGACTGGTGGAGATGGTGGCCCTGTGCCTCCACGGTGGCAGCTGCTGCCAGCAGTTGGGGGTAGGATTCCTGCAGAGCCACCTTCCACATGCCTGGTCCCAGTTTAGCACCAGTGGAGCCCAAGGTGCACCCAGCGCCACTGCTGCTGAGCTGGATGGAGCCATTACACTTCCCCATGCCATGTGGGCTCCTACTGGGACCCTCACAGAGCTGTCAGACCCACTGGGTCCCAGCAGGAGCCTGGGTGGTGTGGGGAGGAGAGCAGTGGTGGCAGCTCTGGGCACAGCTTGGGCTATATTGGTGCTGGGCTGAGGCCGGGCATGTGAGGTTGCGGGGGGTGGCTACATGGGAACACTGCCCAATGGCAGTGGCTGCCTCCTCGGACACAACTCAAAGCCACCGTTGCTTCTGCTCCCTGGGGGCCTGAACTGGGGATGTATGGGGACCTGCAGGCCCAGAGGCGGCTTGTGCCGGAGCTGTCCTGGCCTGGTCAGAGTCTGAGATGTGGGGCCTGAAGGTGCCAGGCACCACTGGAAGGAGTTGTGTGGCATTTGTGGGTGGGTGTGCTCCCCCTGCCTTCCTGCTGCAGCTGCTGGGACCTGCACAGTTGCTGGACTTGCAGGGGAAGTTGAGGGCCTGGGCTGGGTCCAGAGCCTCCAGCTTGGGTTGCTTTTGGCCACCACCTCTGGGGGCAGGGGTGGGGTGAACCCATCACCACTGGGGCTGTGCTCAAGCAGGGGGCTTGCCTGGGCCCAGGGCAGCTTTGCAGAGACCCCGCTCAGATTGGACATCCTGCCAGGGCATGCTGGGGTCTCCCTTCCCCAGGTTCCA